TTTTCGTCAGCGTCAATACTTAATTGGATATTTCCTTCTATACTTTTTAGCACGTAGCTATTTATTATTAGCATTATTCTTCCGACGTCTGATTTCTTTTTAATTATAGGAAATGCGTTTTTCTAAGGTACATAAACTTTTGGGATTTACTATATAGCCAATACATCCTTAAGAATTGATATAAATGAAGTGCACACAGAGATCATCATAAGGGCAGCGCTAGAAAATTGAATTTTGCTAAATTACGAGTTACAGAGAACCGGAGTCCATTGGGCAAGATTGCGAAGAGGGAGGTGGTCAGGGTGGATGTAGAACAGCGTGCTAACCCAAATACATTCGGAACCACCCTATTCGGTTCGAATTTAGGGTGACAGCGTGGCCGTGGTCCAAGCTCCGACCTTGGCCCGCCATAAATATTCAAGAAGGCAGGGAAATCGTTTGCCACCTGCGCCCGATAACCTAAGGAGCGTTCCGTGACACATTTACCGCTGACTGCGGCGTCCAGTATTCGTAACGAGGGTAGTCAACAGGATCCAATAACGTCCCTTTCCAACCCTCGGAACGATCCCATTAAAAATAACCCTCTGACCGCCAGTATAAATCCCGAAAGTGCTGAAGTTCTTAGGAAATTTCAAGATTCTACGATTTCGAAGTAGGTAAGCAGTTTTCCTAAGAAATATATACGTTTCAAGACGTAGCTCCACCAGTGCCAATCTTTGGTAGCATCTCCTCAGTGATACTAGTTAGAATTTTTGTGGATTGGAAACGATTGTTTTGAACGAAGACTCTGTACTAATGGCGGCGAGAAAAACAGGAAGGAGCAAGAAGTGGGAACGATGAGCCAGACGAGACGAGGTCCACGAAATGGATGGATGGTCGTTTGGAATTTGGCCCCCCAATGACCGCGACACAAAGTAGCCAATTTATAATCCCCTGTCCGTCTCCGTGTCGGCCACTTTTATCTTCGTACTTGTAATATCTCTCTCTCTCTCTTTTCCACGAAGCGGCCGTCTCGTCCCAGCGAGCAGACGGCAGCGAGCGCACCGATAACCGCGATTCGCGAGCAATGGGCCGAGAAATGAAATTTGTCGATTAACCTGCGATCGACGACTTTGATTTATTCCGTCCTTCGCATCGCTCTCGGTATCTTCAAGAATTGACTCGGTTATGAGAAATCTTTTGACTGTATCAATTATAATCATGGAGTTTTTAATTCTCGAAATTTATTAAAAAATAATTTTGGACATTTGGAGCCCAGAAATCTTATACGTGATCGTTGAAGCTTGTAGGTCTTTCGGAGTTCACAAATCTTTACTCGAAGACAGAAATTAATTATCCCTCACTAAACAGCGTTCGATTCATCGAAGAAGATACCCTTGGACCATTTCGAACAGGAAAAGGAAGAGGACCATGCGTCAAGAACGATCGAGTGGCCATTCACTGTTTTACGAGCGCAACTGGTCCACCCTTAATGGACGATGGATCAGAAAATTTATCGCGCGCGGAAGCTCGCAAGTCGACTGGTAATTAGCGAGCCGGTCGTTTCGGTAAAATACAATCGAGCCGTTCTACTGACGGCGTGTCCAGGACGCCAGAGGTTCCCATAGATTTTCCAGCGAGGAACGAAAGAAAGACCAATTTGTTTCGCATTAAATTTTGTACGCGCTCTGAATACGCGAGGAGCGAATTCAATTTTTTCTCTCGGCCGTTTTTCAAGAGCTCGCCGCTTCCCCACGTCGGGGACGTTGGGGCAGGAGGAGTGGCACAAAGTTCTCTTTGATGCTCCATCAAGGGGTGGCTACGAAATTCCCAGGGGTGGCAAGCGTGGGGTTAAGATGGCGCGTCAACGATCGACGGATGGATCTCCGATTACGACGCGCGACGTGCCGTATAATTGAGCAGGTGTTGCGAGCCAGCCAACTTACATCCCTTCCGATCCCCAGGGATCGTTCGCAACTATCCTCGTCTCCTGCTAAATTGGTCCATCCCATAACATAACAGTTGTTCGACGTTGCTCTCTGAGATTTGATAAATGGACGAGCTTTCCTATCGATAGAAGCTATAAAAAAAATTCTACGAATGGCCGGACACGATCTTCTTCTATACGATTCCCTACAAACGGCTTTCTGTAGGAACGAATAATATAATTTCCTGAAAACGATTTTCTAATCGGAACACTTAACCCTTTCCTCGGAAGAGCATTCGCCTCGAGATAAGCGCGTAATCCCGTCTAATCCAATTTCCCCTATCCTCTTTTCCTGCTCGTCTCTCCAGTCTATCCGTCGAGACGCTCGACTCTCTCTCCACCCCCTGGACCGGTCTCCGCGACGTCATTCCGGGCCGTTTAATTATTATCAACCCCCCTTTGGCTGGCAGCGCGAGTGACGGATGGATTTTCGTTTATATGACGCGCGACGTGGCGTGTAATTAACCGACCGGCCAATTATAGACACACCACGGTTTTTAACTGGCGTCAACCCCAGCCCCCGACGCGGGCAACGTTAGTCGGTACACTCGATCGGATTCACGCCCGTCGAGAATGTCGATAACATTCCTAGCGAGATATAAAGGTGGGTAAAAAGGAAATAGACAGTGGAGTTTGAACGGGACCGAACGCGCGACGACGCCGGCGACGCGTCAGTTGGAAGGATGGAGGAGCGGCGCGGTAGCAAATGAAGCAACACACGAGATTTCAATTAATGTTCTTTTTTGTATTTTTTTTTTTCCGTTCCATTTCATTTCACTTCGTTTCACCATTATCTTTAGGATAGTGGCATTAAAAAAAAGTTTATTTTAATATAATATGTATACTTTCCTTAAAATCATCCATACTCGTACTCTCATAGCGTAATAATCATAATAATATATATAATCATTATAATAATATATATATATATCTATATTTATTTATATATATATTATGTATATGTATTTCGCATATAGAGAATAGTCAATTACATAGCAGGTTTGCGTAGATTCTCATCTTCCTGTTGTATTACCACTATCGTTATCGTTATTATTCTTATCATTTATTTATTCATATTTTTTTTTTTTGTTCATTTACTCTTTTAATGTAAGGTATTCCATTACTAAACATATAAAAGCGGTATAAAGCTCGATCCTCACACGCTAAATTGTTCGCCCTTTTTTGTCCGTTCTCACACGAATTCTAATTAATTAATTACGAACCGTCGCGTCTCACCACTAGACGTGTATTTTACTCTGTGTGTGTGTGTGTGTCTGCGTATGCGCTCATGTGTTCTTGTTTTCTTTTAACAAATTGGAGTTCGTATCTCATAATCTTCGTCGCTTTGTCTCCTCTCTCTTTCTCTCTCACACACACTCATTCTCCTTTCACTCCGACATATTTTTTTTTTGTTTCTTTTTCAATATTTTGTTTAAACCTAGGCGCAATGCGTTTTCGTTTTAAACGCTTACGAGGGTACGTTCAAGTACTCGCATGCGCCGGCCCTCTCGTCGGTTTTCACCCCTCGTCGACCGGAAATGCAATGTACAAACACGACGGGAAACAAAATAGTAACGTCGGCGAAGTGAAACGGGAATGTGGGGTCTGGGGGATGGAGGGGGGGGGGTGGTTCGCGAAAAGTAACGGCGAGACGGGGTAAGAACGCGAGAGGGTTGACGCGTAAGCCGAGAAAAACTGCCAGGACCATATTGACCGTGTCCTCCGCTCTGTCTAAGAGCATCGATTAATTAACGCGAACTCGTATTTAGTGCGACGATGACGACGGGTTTCTCGAAAGAGCAAGGCGTGGCGGTTTCAAGCACACCCACCGCGATGACCTTGACCCTCTGTCTGTCCCTGAAAATTCGGGTCAACGGCCAAGACCGTCGGCAACGTCCTCGAGTAAAATATTAAAAGACTAAAGGCGAGTCGTTTCTCCCAGAACCTTTTCCCACACTCCTACACACCCACCCACCTAACATCCCTCTTTCTCTCTCGCAACCCCTCTTACATTTTATTTTGTACGTCCGCGATTCGCTCGCTACTTCTTTCCTTTTATTCGAATTTGATCTCCCTTTTATTACTTCGTTTTACGCCTCGGTTTAAGTGTTTCCCACGTCTCGAAGAAACGACTGCACCACGTGTTAAGCACTAGATCGACACAGCTTATCGATTACTATATCTCCATTTTTTTTTTCAACCGTTTAAATCATTCTTCGTTTACTTTCCGCTTCTCTCTATCTTCCCCCTCGAAGTCGCTGACGGGCACACCGGTTCCATCGTCCCTTCTCATACAATCTTTTCTCACCGCGATTCTTCACGCGTTCAGCCTCGACGGCTGAACGTATCCTCGATTCACTTTCTTAATCCCCTCGGTTTCACCGCTCTGCCTCTCCTTTTTTTTTTTTTAATCGCGGATCCAACGCCCAGCGTCGGGAATGCGATTCCGGCGAAGCAATTCCCCTCGACAACCCTTTCTCGTCGAGGGTACGTTTCCACCCCCTTTTTTTGTACGATACCTTCCATCGATTACACATTCGTCCATAGATTTTTGATCCATCTCGCGCCCAAATTCCCAATTTTTCACTTGTCAACGTTGAATGTATCAGAAAAACCAGACTGATTCGAACTTTTATATATTCGTAAAGATGATTCGTTTGATTTAGAATCTGACAAAGCAATAAAGTTGATCAGTTTCCTTGGTCGCGACTCGACCAGGAAAATCGGAATTCCAATTATCAACACCGGTGCGATGGCCCGCCAGCTAAAGGTACAGCGTAGTATCTAAATAACACCCGAGTTAGACTCTCGCCCCTCAAGCCAACCAAACAAATATTATAGTTCGCATACAATCGTTATCATTACAAATACGAATTCTTAAATATCAACTTCTTATACTCTAACGATAGAATGATAATTAATAGAGTTGTGTCTCGGCTAAGAGAAACGCCGGCTTAATATAATATGCGCGTGTACCTTGTTTTCGTCTCTCCACTGCGAGATAATAGTCATTCATTTTTAATAACATATATTATTATATCGTGTTGCTTTGTTTATTTTCTCCGCCGTGATCGATGTTCGCCAACGTGAAAATGAGACGTGGCCAGCCTGCCCGCAACTGCTACCAGTCGCGAGTGGTACAACTATTAAATAATGCCGACGAGTGAGGACACCGTCGACAGGCTTTTATTTATATTATGGTTTTGCGTTTTAACTATGGTAAGCCGTCGAGATCGGTAAAGATGATTTTAAGACACCCTGCGGTGCACGATAATCTTTCATCGAGTTCGAATTACGGTAATTATCAATTTCCTATAAATCTTCTATAAAGGTAAAATGGGTTACACGGGGTTAAATATTGTTGCAGCTACATAATTCGTTGCAAGTTCCACTTTGCGGGTGGAATTTGTCGTTCTAATCTTAAGTATCTAACTAGAAAATACCTGAATAGGATCCAAGAGTGGAAATTCCTTTAGCATTGCAAGACCTGAAATTCTCGAAGGAGACCAATTCCACTGGCAGTCAGACACGAGTTACAAAAACGAGTGCTGCTCTTTCTATTTTCTCTCTTTTTTTTTTTTTATTCAATGGCCAGCTTGGATACTGAAATACCTGAATTCCCTATCGAAAGCTCAGTCGACTTTTTAGACAAAATATATCGAACTGTTTCGAGCAGAGTGGTCGCAGATTGAGAAGTTCTGTTCCAATTAAACGTCGAAATTTTGCCGAAAAAATGTCTCGACGGACGACTCGCCTAACGCTAATTATTTCTATTTCTACCGCTACCGCTACTTCTACCCACTACTACGTTCCAAATTTTCCTCCCCCGTGTTTTTGTCAATTTTCCATTTTTTCTTTTTTAGAGCACTTTCGAGTAGATTTTTATCAAAAATATATTTCGTCCGCGACGAAAACGCGACGTCGATCGCCCGCCCGACGCTCGAGTAAAAAACGGTTACGGATATTCGAACTATCAAGGAATTCTTGAACGTTCGGATATGGAGCCGCCGGGCCGGCGTTGTCTGCCGCAATTCCTCAATTCCCCAATTTACCCCCGTTTTCAAATCGATCGTCCGCCGAGGAATTCTGCAATTTCAAATCCGTTCCCAATCCGCGACAGCCTCGCGTTCATTTTCATTTCTACGACTAATAAAGATCAGTCTGATGGAGTCGGATAGTAGACAACGGGCGTCGAAAACGCGGCCAAAAAGTGCCGCCGCTGGAAAAATTCAAGGCTGGAGTTATGTTTGTATCTAGTCTTATTTGTCGGCAGTTTTTGTTCGCCACCGGAAACTGTGTTCTTCGGCTCGTTCGCGGAGAGTCGTCAAAATTCGCGTCGCGCTAAAATCGAAGGAGCCCGCGGTATCTCATTTAACTCTAGCCAAAAGTCGCGGGGTTCGTTGGTTGAAAACCGCAACAAGAGTATCTGTCAACCATCTTGCTGCACCAAACGAAGCCAATTTCGTCGAATAATTTTGTTCAGGCCCTCGATCAAAGCGATGCTCCCATTTGACTCCTCTCGTAACTCGCTTGAGAAACAGGAAAACGGTGATCCACTGTTGATCCGTATCTCAATTCATCAATTGCTGCTAAATATCGATAGAAAATACGACCGAGCAAGTCGCACGGGATTATAGCTATGACTCAGCGACTGTGTGTCAGTTATCTCGTCCAGTAGAAAATTGTAGAGCTGTCTGTATAAACGTGTTAGTGCGAGTCACTGTGATTAGCCCTATTTACAGAATTGAAGGCGACACGCGTCTATAGAAGAAAGGGAATAGCGTTCTCCTCCGAACAGAATGGAGCTAGAAAAAGTTGCATGCAAATAGACACACCGAATTCTACCTAAGAGATTACTGATATCATCCTCGAAGCTTTCTAATACACACGACTATTAGATCCTTTCGCGTTACACCAATCTCACTTAAGACACCAGCCTGGTAGATCTCTCCTATTATATTTTCCACTCGTCAGAGAGGACGAAAATTGTAATTTGTATAGTGCTTCGACAGGCTCCAAATATACATTCGCCGTGAAAACACATTTTCTACGCACTTCGTCTCGTATAATATTGTAAAAGAGATTATCTATCTTTTATGTGTCGCGGGGTTCAAAGTGATTTGCATGACGGGCGTAAGAAGTGGTTACGCGGTTACCTGAGAGAATTCGAGCTAATCGTAAGTGAAGATAAAAATGGGCGATGCAGCGCCTTAAGTGCTAATGGCAGTCTGGATCGCTTTATATATTATGTTCGTTAAGTGTACACGATAGTTATATGATGTAGTGTATATTATACCTCGTTTAGTACGCGACACGTCCAAGTGAGACCTAACGCTAGGTAAGTATGCGGCACGTGCGTACCGTAGTATTATAATATAATAGATCATTTTGCTAATTTCTCGTATCGTTAGATCGCAATTGTTAACGCCTACCACCGGGAAAAAGAAAACACCGTTTTAACGTTTAATTAATTAACTTCCTCATACTTCTCCCGTTCACTGGCACGCTCCTTCACACGAAATCGATAACCCTCGTTCACACCCGACATTCTCAAAATTCTTTCGTCTCGTTGTTGCTCATTCCTTTCGTAGCACGAACATAATTACAAACATTTGTACTCTTATCACGGGGGGACAAAGCGAATCGTTCTTCCACCGACGAATCGAACGCGTGTTTTCCGCGAATTCAATATCGTGCGTCTGATCGCCGTTCAGTGAATATCGATGAAATGGATTCGTCCGACGGAAACCGCGTAGATATCGAGCACGGGGAACGAGGAGGATCGTAAAGGAACAACGCGTTCAATTAAACCTCGACGGTAATCGGTCCCGGCATCTTCTTGTTCTTTTATTCATTGTCCTGTCGCATGAACCGACAAAATTCTTCTCGGTGCCTCTTTACCGCGGTAAAAGAAAGAAGAGGACGGGTCGGAGGCCGGTGTGTGTCTCTCTCTTCCTCCGTTTGCGCAGCACTCGAGACGTCTGCCAATTAAATTAAATAGTGTCGAGAAAAAGAATCCTCCCAGCGAAAGCCAACGGGGTATATCGAGATAAAAGGACGTTGTTTCTCTGTTTTTCCCGCCTCGTTCTTTCCCGTCCTCACTGCTGCTGCTCCTCCTCATTGCTCCCTGTTCGTTCTCCTCCATTTGTAATGCAATGATCGTCGACCGTTTTACACCGAGAGCTCTTTCCTTCGGTGGACCTTTCTCTCCTTTTTGTTCTCCCGTGTCGAAGAAAGAAAAGAACGGAGGGAAAGCGGTGCGCACAAAACGCGCGGTGGAACAGAAAAGAAAAGCTCGACGAGAATGAATTCGGACCGTTAAGATTTGGTTAACCAACTTGTCTCTCCTTTCCGGGTCGTGAATTCACGGTGATGGGTACGGATCCTTATGTTCGAATCGCATTCACTCGTACCATTCATTCCAGATCTACCACCGAAGCGCGTTCAAGTCTATTGTTAAATCTCTCTTTGAATGCAAACCTGCAGTTTCATCGGGAACGAAACGAACGAAAGTGTTTCCGAATCGTTTAAAATCATTTACATATCGACGTGAACGCGCGTTGGTTTTCTACGCGAAAATTGGAAGTTCAGCTTGCGATTAATTTTAATTACTACTAGCAAAGGGTAATCTACGCAATGAATTATGTATACGAGCCTCGCCGCTTAGAAACGCTTGACTTTTTGGAAGCTGTCTTCGTAGAGACAGTAACTGTTATGAACGATGCGTCTGCGATCTAGAGGATGAGTCTCTAATATCAAACAGCGACACATTGATTAATTATGTAACGTGATTAATTGAGATTATATATTGCGTTTTATATATCGAACGCGCGCCATTCGTCATTCGAAGCGTCGTTACCATTGGATTCTGTCTCTCTGCAGTTTAACATACGATGCCTAATTAAAAGAATCTGCTCGTCTCGCGAACGAGCATAAGAATTATTAATACAGAAAATTAAGAACAGTAAGCAGTTCTCGATGTTACACGACGAAACTCGTGATTCTAGTATTTTTATTTGAGACAGAATTAACGTACAACGCGCAAACTCTTTAATAATACCGTCAACGAGACAGCGAACTTACCCTGACAGAATAAACGCACCGAGTCCGATTCGAAAAATTTCGTATTAAGCCTTAAACGTTAATAATGGTGTATCGCTTTCGAATACCACGTAGCCAATCATGGATCTTCGAGTCGTGCATTTTCTCAAACAATTTTTACCTCTTGCTCGAGTATTCCAGAGACGGTGATTCATCAATGAGATGGAAAATCGATCGACCGGCTCTGTTAAAAATTGTCGAGAGAGCACACGCCTCGTGAAAATTTTTTTTCTTTAACCACTACGAACGAGTTTTCTAGACGTTGACTTCCGATGGAGCGGCAATTTTATGAGTCTCGACACCTCTCTGTATACTTTTTTTCCCCACGCCTTATCAATTTTCATGATTCCCAATTCCTCTTTCACTTCTCTGTTCTCGATTCTTCTCTTTGTCTTACCATGCCTCAAAGCAACCTCTGTCAGTTGTCCCGTTTGGTCCGCACTACCAGCATTGATTATTTGTTGCTTTCGCAATGCACACGAATGCGTGTTTTTTTTTTCTTATTATGATCCCTTATTATTCCACGTTTTTTTTTAAACACTTTTTCTCCTCCTCTCCTGGCTGTTGGATTCCCTCCTGTTCCTTCCCACATGCCCTCCGATCGGTCTCTCTCCCTTTCTACTTCTGGCCGTTGTGCACTTTACAATCGACGTTTAATTAAAGAATTAACCCCCGCGTTCTGTTCGACCTCCACGCCCGACCGTCCGTCTTGCTTTTACGAGAATGAAATATATTATATTCTTACGCGTACTCTACGACACCTAATGAAAATTCGATTACACTTAGCGAAAATTATAATCGTTATACAATTATTTAATACAAGTATTAGGAACAGAACGGCAGGGTTAATCGGTATGAGCTAAAGACGCGTAGTGTAACTAGAAAACGTGGGCTTTGAATTTTATTCAATCTTCGATGCTTTCTTTCATTTCACAATTCGATAGAGTTTCTGATCTCTTTTCTCTCGTCTCTGCGAACGACTGCTCCCCCCCTCGTCTCCTTTTATCTCTTCGTGCATTCAAAAGTTCGAGGGAGCGTCGCGATTAAAGTTTTTCGAAAGGGTCCTTCGACTCTCCTCTCTTTCTCTCTCTCTCTCTCTCTATGGCACGTTTTCATCTTCTTTCGTCCTCGACGAGTCTCGATCCTCAGCATTTACGCGACGCTTAAACTAAACTTAAATCCTAAGCGCGTTACTTCTTTAAAAGAACGTACGACCCTTGTTGCCCGATCTCGTTTCCCGATCGCCTCGGCGATCGCTTAAAAAAATAGGGTACAAAAATTATTCATCTAAATCTGCAAAAAGCCTTATCCGAACACTACAAGAATTTCGCTTCCTTTCAGAATTTCGATACCACGCCCTTAATAAACACAGCCGAATAAAAATGCCCCGAATTCCTTTTACTTTTTTCGATTACGCTCTAAAATCTAGTGAAAACGTCACGAAATCACCCGCGATTTGGCGCCCGAAATTTTCATCATCGTATAAAAAAGATTATCCTATGACAATAGTACATATAGATTTTACTTTAATGTAAAAAAATCAGATTGCTTATCGTTTTCCCCGCGAGACTGTACCCTCTGTTGCTTTGTTCGTTTCGAAATACGCCGAGTGTCCTGTGAAACGAGCTCGCTCTCCGGATCCGAAATTAAATGCACGTCGCTGAATAATTGGTGTCGATTCTTACAGTGTTACATGTGCCACTTTCTCCCTTTTTCTCTTTACAATTGACGACGCATCTACAAACATTTTGTCAAAATTCTCGTAGACGTTGCAAGCGAAGTACGAAGTCTGTGTTACAAATACGCTTCGTGATTCGCGTTGAAAACTCTGCTCGCATTTTCCTCCACTTCAGTTTTATTTTTATTGCAATTCTAAAAACTACAGGATCGAGGAAAAATTGCGAATCTCGATGGTCGAAGCGAATGCGAGCAAACTTTGCAAACTCTTACAAAGGGAAGTAGCGATGCACACGACGACAGCTTATACATATGTGTATAGCTACGCTATGTATACGTCTATATACCGTGTATATACGTAGAGTAAAACGCGATTAGATGTACGAAAGGGGGAGGGGAACGGTAGGTGATTATAGCACATCCACACGCCATTCAAACACGTCGGTTTACCCCTTGAGGAAATTGCCTGTAAACGGGTTTCGATACTTCGAGGGCGGACCTAAACGACTAACGATTAATTACGCGTCCTAGCTGTGAAAGCTTAATTACGACCGTTGCACGAGCGTTCTATCCATTATCCTTCACCTTTTCTTCATCCTCTTCGAGTGCCCACTGACACTCGAGCCAGAGGCATCGCGTAACTCACACTCGTCTCGAGAAATTATTATACGCTCCACTACGATTTTAGACAGTTTTAGTTTGCATGCTACCATATTAAGATAATATACGTTGTACGATAATTATTGAGAAATTGTGTTAACTCCGAGTTTCCTTCGGTCTCACCGATTCGGGCACTCGAAGGGATTCAAAACTCGAACGCCCATCACCAATCCTGAGGAAATACTAGACGAAGACACGACACAACATCAAAGAACGGAAAAATCGTGCGCGACGAGTAATAGAAGCCGTGTACGAGTTTAATTATTTGTACGTGTACCTTATGTTTTTCCTTCATAGAATTTACTCACATTCCCATAACGAGACTCGTTCCTCTCTCTCTCTCTCTCTCTCTGCGAACGATTGGATTCTGGCTCGTAAAAAAGAAAACGAAGCGAGGGCCGGGGGATGAAAGGGAATAAATCGAAACGTAGGACGGGTTCAACGACAACGACTGGAAGCGAATGGAAGGAGCCGTGAACCAATTGTCTACGCAGCTACACGTCGATTAACTTATCGATCCTCTGCCTGCGATATCCTCCTCCTCTCTCCTCCTCCGCCTTATCCTTCCTCTGCCTTGCAACCACCCTTCCTACGCGTCTGCTCCCCCTTGTCCCTCTCTCCAGATCTTACTCTTTCAATTTTCAGAACCATTTCCTTGTTCTCATTCTGTCGATTGTCTGTACCGGTTATTATGAAAGTAAAGAAACAAAATTTTTCACTCGCGCTGTACTTCGTTATTGGAGAATTTTTTTCTCGATATAATTGAACTTGGAACGATCTCATAATAACCGGCACACTTTGCAGTTGGAAATTTTTTAATGCAATCGCGAAACACAAGAGGCAGCAAACGGGAACAGGTGTTATAGGTTAAATAACAACATTATGTTCCTATATACATTTGTACCTTAGCCAACCTATCCCCAATCGGCTCGATTACGGTCGGGCTCCCAGGTTAACGTGAACTATTTCTTCTTCTTTTTTTTTTTTTACGAGGTCTCCTGACTTCCAGAGGGAAACGAGTTTCTTGAAAAAATTAGTTTCTTTTCTTTTACGGCTCAGAGGGTGCTACGTTTTATCTCCTTTTCGCAGTTGAGCAAATTTCGACTCTGTACATACGATTATTAAAAAGTTTCTTTAGAAAGTTGTTTAATGGTTAACAGCAACCCCGTTCAACGCGATATTTGGCACCGACATATGTACATGCACGTATACTATATATTATGTGAATCCACACCCCGCGTCGTTCACGATGGGAAATCGTAGATCCTGCTCGATTCGCCGGGAGCCCTTCCTTCTCTTTAGAGTGTGAAAGACAGCCGGTGTGTGTACTATTTGCGTGGTCGGCGATCGGGCCTTGCCTCCCGACCTCGATCGGAAAATTTCGAGCGACAACTATTCGCCCTCCGAAAATGTTCGTATTGTTTTTCCGTCGAGGCAGACGTTTGAATTTCGAGAGCTAGTGTTAAGTATTTTTCGACGCCACTTTGAGAAATGAAGATCGCAGGTTGGGTCGAGAGGCAAGGCTTGAAACAGGGTAAAAAAACTTAAACGCCGTCCGCGAGACAAAAACAAAAATTCTATCGCTCTCCAGTAGCGCACTCGATAAAATTTCTTCGTCGTTCGTAACACGTTTCAGTATCATAACAACACCATATTCAATTTTCTCTCTCTTTCTCACTCTCTCACTCTCTCTCTCTCTCTCTTTCGGGCAATGTACACATTAAATTACGCGCATCATATTTACCGTGGAACAAATCAATGCTTCCCTGATTCTTTTGTCGTGTAACGCGGGCAAGTAGAATAAACGGTGGCCTCTGAATCAGCGTTTGCAAAAAGGGAGGGGGGGGGGTTGAGATTTATAATCTGTCAAAACTTAATCGGGACTCGACGCACGCGAAACCGAAACGATTTTCACCCGCTGTCCGTCGCGCTTCCGGTTTCACGTTCTTGTTCGATAGTATCCATCTCTCGCTCTCTCTCTCTCTCTCTCTCTCTCTCTTTCTCACTTTGTACGTCTTTCGATAAATTCGCGATTTGTCGATGGACAAGTATTCGCGACGTTCGGTTAAATGCTTTTCCATTTTACTTTATTCATTTTATTCGAACCCTCTCACACACTCCTGCCATTCCCAATCACTCAGCACTGTCCGCGTCTCGCCCGACACTGACCCGCGGCTGGAAAACGAGAAAAACGCGAGACGATCGTTCCGAGAACTGTCTACAACCGATGGACGACGGTCACGATCCAATCCATAATTTATAATAATAATAATAATTAATAACTTGAGGTATCAAGGTATTTCCGTAGTCTCTTCTCCGCTGTACGAGCAATTTCGAGAATTCTCTAATTAAAAACTCGAAACCTATATGATTAGTGCGACTCGACTAATGGACAAAAAAAAAAAGACACTGTACCATGGACTCGTTTTCTATTATTTACGACGCTTAAAAGAAATCGTTAGAGGCTCTGATTCGCGTGACACAGCGTCATCGATGCAATTAACTAACAAAATTCCTAAGGTATCTCCGCTCTGGGAAAATTAAATGGGAAAAGCCGACTAACTATATATAATATGCGAAATTGAAGAAGAAATAAAACTAGAAGTGCGGCTACGACGACCGGTATTTGACTATCCTACCCGGTCTGCAGCCTGTTGCACGTATCGTAATTGTGTCGTGTAATACGCTGATCACAAAAAATTATCACCATTTCGCGCGCATTCCCCTTCCCGAAGTGTCCCTCCTCGAACCGAAAAAAAAAAAATTCTCTAACTCAAAACGCAATTGTTAAGCATTTTAATCAACCAGATCATTAGATAAAAAATAATACAGTTTTTACAGACGACAGGAAGATAAGATCTCTGTCGGACGAAGAAAGTCCTCGGGGAAGGGGAAGTGAAAATTAAAAATGGACTAACGAGCGACGTTAAAACGTTAACGAGGGTGGGCGTAAAAAAGAAGAAAAGCTCGAACGCGCTTTCTCTCTTCTGATCACGGTCCACGCGGCTCAGCGACTTCATAAATCGCGACTACTGAAAGGACATCAACTTCTCTACGTATGTACCTCCTCCGTGTGTCCGTGTGTAAGTGTACCTGCTGTCCCCTACATAATATACATATACGCGTGTTCGTTTCAGTGTAACAGTATGTGTGTAACGTGTACGTGTCACAGACATCAAAAACCGACTACAGCGAAGGATCGTGTGACGATGTTCACCGATCGACGCAAGCACGGTGCTTTAATCTCGTTGAACATCTGATGTCAACTTTTACGGATTTCCTAAATTCATTTATCCTCTGTTAGAAATCGTGTCGATTCGACTATTCGTAAAGTGGAGTACGGAAATTTTGATCAGACGGTATGCGTTATTGTCCCTTGGATTAGAAAATTGACCGCCGTGCGTGATCGATGAATCAACCACCCGATCGCCCGACGCGTCTATAAAACTCTATGTAAAACGTTTTACACAGTTTAATCGCTAAATGGATATAAGACGTGTCCTTTATTCCTAAGAAGAGCCTGATTACGCAGCCAGGCCGTTGTTCTCATCCTCCTATACGTTAATACATATGCGTGAATTTACCGTATCAATGTCGTTTAATGTATATATAATATGTATTACAATATATATACCTATAGTTGTCTAGCACAGCTGTAAAGAGAATCTTAAACGCTAAGAGACAAAAAACCGATCCTTAGAACGTAGACTCATATATAATAATAATTCATATTTATTTCTCATATATAATATATATATATATATATATTTATATACTTTATCTTCTCGTTAGATTATTTGAAACCGCGTCGAACTGTCCGCGTGTGAAAAAAGAACGACCTCGAAGAACAACCGATATATAAATTGCAGGATAAAAATTTTTTTTCCCTTCCCTTTCCTTCCTCGCGCCGCCCCCGTTCTTCTCCTTCAGTCAATTCCCTCGTCCAGCATCCACCGTAGCCTGTCGCTGGAAACGGTTCTCGATACGAATCTTCCCCTCGTATTCTTCTTTCCTTTTTTTACCATTTACTTCTTCAAATCGAAAGGTCGTTAACGAGAACGTGAGACTCGTCGAGAGAACGAGAAGAACGAGAACCCGTGGCGACGAGCGATAACCGAGTTGCGCCTAATTTACATCGGTCGAGTAAAGAGGAAACTGAATCGCGTCAGTGATCGACTCGTCTTTTCATTGTTCGATTTAGTGCACCGGATGATGACCTGCACGATTCTGATTATTGTTATTTTATCTGTTTTTTTTTTTTACTCGATGAATATAAATTAGGCATTAGAGCCGAGTCTCTAAAATATTCAACGAAATTCAAAGATATCTCTTTGGGCGTCGACCGGTTCGGCCGACGGACGAAATAATGAAGGAAGTCCACCCTTAACTAGAAATATGAAAAACCTTGTCGTTTTTCTAACGAACTTACGATATCTTTTCTCTATCGATGATTCGAAAACCTCTCTTCCCGCCCTCCACATAATGACTATATGCTAAACTCTATTCATAGTTCAACCATTCATAACCTTTTTCTCCCCTCTCTCTCTAAACTACCCCCGTTAAAAAAACGTCTCCCGCTTCTTCACAATTTGTCTTCTCCCATCGCAATCCCCCTTAACCCCCCCTCAACGTGACATATAGATGTGCTATTAATTAATTAATTAATTAATTAATTATTAGAAGAATTCACGGACACGATTACGACGATCGATACAAATTTTGAGAGGGACGCGAACGCGGACCGTACGCCCCTTCTTTCCCTGAGATTTTCAAAGAGGCGACCACCCCCCGTCCACGTGTCTCCCATTATAAAAAACACTGACATAGAAAATCGACTGAACCCGCACGTCGTCGAACGAACGGAGTCGCTCGGGGAGAAAAATTTTCCGGAGGCGACCCTAACGGGCCTCGGAAAACTAGCGTCGAACGCAGATCGCTCGGATCGAGGTAGATTCGTCAACTGAGGGAAAACCGTATTCTGTTACAATTACGTCGCGTCCTCCCCGATTTAAGGTTCCTCGACCCGTTCGTCGCAACGTCGATTCGAGCGCGATCGATATCAAAGATAGAAAAATCGTTACGATAACTCGGTGAATAAAAAAGGTTTAGCCTAGGTTTAATGTTTCTTTAGCCTTAGCAACTACAGAGCGAGTGCGTGTCACGCGCGTCGACGTCCCAAAGAAAATATTCGCATGCAGTGTTCACTTCACCGCGCACCTTATAATTTAGATGACGACTCATAAAATTGAATCAGTTTTCATATAAACTCCACGTTTCGAGGATTGAAATGTAAAATGAGAAGAGAAAATTTCACTGCACGTCTCTCGTAGACAAGGGCACGTCGACGGTTAGAAACTGACTAATCATTTTTACAAATCGGGTCAGGTGCCTCGGCCGATCGATTCGATTCGAGGAACCGACACTGAAACCGATGATACGAGAAAGTCGCACCTGCGATAGTGTTTTTAACAACGCGAACCGCGTAGCGAAAATTGAAAACGGTAGGGAGTACAAAAAGTAGGCGCGCTCGCGCGCTTCGAAAAGCATTTTATCTTTCTCTCTTTCTCTCTCTCTATTTCTCCTTATTCCCTTATCCGCGCTCCGGAATCGTAGCACACGCGAGCTTCTCGTTAAAACCGAAACGAATTCGCGCACGTGTGTACCTTTTATTATGTCGAGAATCACCAGGGACACGAAAATTATTAGAACTGTTAAGGATCAACTGGAAACAGCCGACAATCTTTTCTCGTCGACGATATTTTCATTCAGTTGTACGTCGAATGATATGTTAGGAATTTCAATAGTTTTCTTCAACTTGTGAACTTTCGTTTCGCTTTGCTCTATTCAAGTCGTCGGAGTTTCGGTAAAAAAAATTTCTGCAGTACAATCGCGTGGATAGGTTAAGTCGGGTTTACTTTTGTACCGCCAGCAGCCAAAGGGTCAGAACGTATTGTCTAAGAAAACTAGAACGAACGAAAATATTGTCGGCGTTACCTTTTCTTTCTCCTGCCTTCTCCTCCTCCTCCTCCTCCTCTGTCCTGTCCTCCATTTGGCACTCTGAGAAAAAACGCAAACGAGAGACGACGGTTCCCTCCGTTGTGCCGCCGTTTCCTTGTTCGCACTGTCCGATCTCTCTCGCACGACTGCGCGAGCACAGAGGGCTCGCCGACAAAAGGAAGTAAAGCGCGTAGGAAACTGAACGAGAAGAGAAAACGCGGTTTTCGTCGCGTGGCAAAATTGGATGACGACGACGACGACGACTACGACGATGATGATAATAATAACGCACTGTTCGGCTCGCGTCTGTGTGTTCGGGGTATCCAAGATCGTAAGAAAGGATTCCGTACACGCGTGTACTCGTTTGACTCGCGCTCGTGCCTCCTTACGCGAATACTCCCCGTCATATTTTTTTCTTTTTTTTTTTTATACTTTTTTAATCCCACTATGTCTCTCGTAATTTCTCGCTCTCTTCCACTCGTAATCCATTCACGCTACCTCTCGCTCTCGTATAGTGTACGTGTGCTCTGTTTTGATGAATCCCGCCACGAATTGCCGCGAATCCCGTTCCCCGGAGAAACGAAAGGAAAATTGTGCAATAAAAACAACGGTCCTCGTTAAACTCTAAACGCGCGTTCAGGCCTTTCATTTTGGTTGAAACGTATGAGTCAAAATTCAAATCAAAGTGAACACAGTAGGACGTTTGGATCCACGCTATTCAGCACTTTGCTTCCAATTTTATTCAAATCACTGCGATCGATTCAACCAAATTGAAACTAAACGAACTCGTCTCCAGGCTTGAATTTTGTGTAAGGGGTCGGGGGACTGAACGCGCGAGAAACGCGATTCGAGGAACAACCCGCGACGGGATCCACCGGACACTCTTAGATAACCACTACGGGACACATTTATTAAAAAAAAAACTCCTAAATATATTCTCCGGCGTAGAAATGGATTAAGTATACGTTTTTCTTTTCACTCTTTCTTAAATCGAAGTAACGCAAAGAAGGTACACGATCGACTATACTACCTTGGGAAAAACGGTGGGCGGTCTGTTTGTGGGACGGCCGCTATTGATGGACAGCAACGACCAGCATCGCCAGAAAAACCAACTTTTCTTTCTTTTCCCTCTCTCTCTCTCTCTCTCTCTCTCTCTCTCTCTCTCTCTCTCTCTCCCTGTTCACGTTCCTCATACGTTCTCACCCTGGCAACTCTTGCCTCGCTCTCGTTCCATCTCCCTCTCGCCGAAGAACGTGTTTCCCACTTAATTACGTATTTACACTGGCTAGTACGGGCGCCCGTGGCTTTCGACCACCCTTCGAAATCGAAACGGGGAAGGAAAAAGTCGTGGAAACCGAACGTGGAGAGGTCTACTAACCGGTGAGATATCGTTGCGTCACTGGTAAGGAGAATCGAAGAGCGAAGGTACGATGGATAAGTAACAAGGCGGTGGATCGCCGGGCGCCCGGCCGATCAACGTGAAAACCCATCGAACGAGTCGTAGATCCTTAAACAAAATCAACATGGCCGCCGTAAACGTATAAACTAATAAAATGTAAAAAAAACAACGTTCTCGATTATCTAAGTAACAAACGATAGTTCTCAATATCATCTCTTCCCCATTTTCGTTCTAAGTGACCGTCGTACTTTTTTTCTTGTTTTCTGTTTTTCTTGCCTCGTTACATGCACACCTACGTAATATACTATAGGGAAGTCTGACTCTTTTTTTTTTTTTTATTTCGTTATCTTCACTAGTCTGCGTATGCCTTTGTAATTTGTCCGTTTGCTTTATTTTATTTTCACCGTTCGGTTAACGCAATTCGACCTATGGGACGCCAGGGACGACTCTGTCGTTCTCGATCGCGTATCGACGACGTTTCGACGCTCCCGAAAAAACTATTTTAAACCTAATTTCTCTTAGCTAAACCGCAAAACGTTTCCGAGGATAATTTATTTCGCATACACTACCCTATCTACTAATAAATTTCGTCCGTTCGAATTCGACTAATCACGTCACCGAGAAAAGAAACTAAAAACAATTTACACGCACGCACGCTAAACCGAGACTACCTAAGAATTTCAACTAAAAGTAGAAGACCGAGATTACAAAACGGACACAGTTCTAGGATTTTTTCTGTTCGTCCTTACCGGGTAATACTGATTTCAGTTCTTGGCCCTAATTTCGTGCCAGGGCTCCTCTTTCACTCTCTAACTAAGCTCTGGCGAATCGCGCTCGCCACGTCGATACGTCGTCGATCTGTCGATCCTCCCAGTCCTAAACGCAGGACCCGTCCCTCGCGCTGAATTAACATAGATAAATCTACTATCGACACAGAAAATGAACAAACCTTAAATCGTCGTCTGCTACGGGAGCTCCGAGGACCTGACACTCTCTTTTCCATGTCCATCCCAGGGAATCTGTGTTTCACACGTTACTGATTTTATGTTTTAAACATTACTACTTTCAGACATTTCTGTCGCATCGGACGAACGAAACATAAAGAATTTGTGTATCATCGATCTATCAGCGTCGCCTGCTTAAAAAATGTCCCGAATTGAACAATCACGAAATTAAAAAGAAAACTCGTCCCAAAATGAGATACAGAAGAGCAAAGTGTCAGGTCCGTTAAATTCTCGCTTCCTTCGTCCTCGTTCTTCTTCTCTTCAGGATCAATTTGAGAAAGAAAAAAAGAAAAACGATCTGATTACGGATCTAGAGCAAGGTCGCCCGGAGCAGGGAGATCAACGGGTCGAAGAAGAGGGGACGACGCGGGTGGTTAGTGGTAGTCGCGGTGCTCAGAAGACGAAGCCGCCGCTGGTTGTTAGCTAAGTTCCCTAATGGTTACGGCCACTGGCTATAAAGCTGGAACGGCTCGCGGGTGAAGCAGACCGAGAGCGGCTTCACGAAGTGGGCGTCCACTGCTCGGCAATGCGGGCACGCGAACACCCGGCTGTAGTCCGAGTAGAAGTTCAGTCGCTGGTGCGGATAGATCAGCGGCTTCTGGCAGCTGTTGCACTGCAACACACGTCGGATCACCCGAGATTAACTCCCGTACTCAAATTATTATGTGCATACAAATATTTTAACCACTCCGATATAAGTAGACGTTTTACGGGCCAAAACTTATTAACCCTTTGCACTGGAGGCCTTTTGCGTTCGGGCGAACCAGCAACTCGAGACGATTTCGGCTATATTAGAGAAGAACTTTAGGGGTACTTCAAATCATTTTATACCCAAAAGAACGTATACAAATAATAAAATTTTACCAATTTTTTCATTTTTATTGAATACAACAAAATCTGTTAAATATTACAGTTTGCAATTAGTTTTCATGCCGGGCGCCGTAGCGGCGCCGCTCGAGTACAAAGGGTTAAAACGATGTATGAATAAATGATGACAATAGATGCTCTCTGAGTCAAATTAACCCCTTGCACTATTCGGAACCTCGGAAAAAATCAGGCCAAACACGGCTGCCTCGATTGTCGCGGAGAAAGACGAGCGATGGAGCGCGCGTGCCGAAACTTAAGACCTATCAATTTCAAAACTTTTAAAAAATACTTTAATTATTACATAAGATGAAAACAATCCCATTCGAGATGTTCATACTTGGTCCAAAACTAAGGTCCACGAGTCAGACTCGTGATATTCATGTTCGGCCTGAAATGTCGAGTACGAGTCAGGCTCGTGATATTCATGTTTGGTTTGGAACTGAACAACGAGCCCGACTCGTGGTATCCATATTTGGCCTAAAATTTTCATCACGAGTCAGACTCGTCAAAATAGTGCAAGGGGTTAAGAAATATGTACATTATACGATGAAAATCGAATGTTGAAAGGACGTACCTTGAGCCGTTCGGTGCAACAAGGCATAGCAGCGAAGATGTCGTAGCTGTACATGGTCCCAAGGACCAAACTAGACCCGTCCCACGGTTGGGTGCAGCAACGGCAACGGACAGGTTGTCCACCGCTGCCCTCGAGACAGCTCATGCAGACTGCCGACAAGAACTGCGTGCGACCTTCGACCTTCACCTGGAACAATTACCGTTCACCACTGATTGCAGATTTCTCGTTCAAATCAATTTAATCCAAATGCGCTCGAGATAGAAAATTTTTTTTTTTAAATTGTACAAGTCTTTTTCCCATTTCTTCTTTAAAAGAGTTAACTGTTCGTCTTTAATTGGCATCGTTATCTCAATATTACAGTCAAGCAATGATTTAGATAATCCTTTGAACATGCTGGTGACACAAAAGTCGTGCTTACCTCGGCACATGCGGGCGAGTGCTGCCTGGGTGAGAGGAAGAACGTGCCGTCGACCAATGGGTACCTGTCGAAGACGAGCATGGGCGCTCTACAGAGCACGCAGGACACCCTGGACCATTGTAACGCGGCCAGCGTCGAGAGTATGAAGCATCTGGTGTCGTCGTTGCCGTGGTTCCCCTCGTCCTCCATCTGCAACGAGGGAAAACGAAAAACTTCGAATGAATCTCCCGAGTTGAACGAGCTGAGGAGAGCGTAAAAGTACAGTCGATTAAACTCGTTCGTCGGGGAAAAGGGGAATGAAGGCATGAAACGCGCGAGAGAGAATCGAATAAAAAGCCCTTTCGTGCGCGATCTCGCTTCCGGTTCGACGGTTTTAACAATTTTCCATTACGACACTGTCCATGATAAATATTATAAAAAATTCAACGTGTTCAAATGCGATGATCGATACAGCAATTGACACGATCTTCATTGACAGAAATAAACAAATTGATGAACGTGAATGGTAGTTCGGTGGTAATCACCAGGAAAATTGTGTGTATACGCTAATAATTCAAATGGGTTAAGACTGAGAGAGGCAGGAAACGTTCGACTCGTCTCGAAGAGGAAGCCGTTCGATAGGGAAAAGGAACAGGCGAAATGTCACGTCCTTAATGACGGGGAAAGGGAAAAAGGACGTCGGCTACACAGACAGGAAATGAGAAGAAAGGGATTGGCAAGGTGTAGCGCACCGGGTGACTAACTAACGAGAGGCTGCCTGCCGAAGGTCGGGGTAAGAGAAATTTTCTATCGGTATAGCAGACACGAGCCAAATCCTTTTTAAGGATCTCGAGTGACTCGTTACATTTCCTCTCTGGTTTGGTTTAACCCTCGAAAGAGTTTCACCGTTTAATCCTTTGAGATAGAGGGACACGGTAATTCGAAATTATCGAGCAGATAAGCCCTATTCGTAGATTATTCCCAAATTGAGATCCCAAGAATCCGGTCTACAAAGTTCGCTATTAGATCCTTTAGATCCTACTTGGAGCCGAGCTCGGATCACCACGTCCTTCGAACGATCCCTTATTACATCCCGGGATCCTTATCTCCAAAACTTGACTCCCGTAAGCCGACGTTACGGCTCCTTAGAAATTCCTGCAAACTACCGGCCTTATCTCGTTTCATCCTCGATTAAAAATCTATTCGCACGCTTCTCATATATCATTATCGCCCTCGTCAACCGATGCACAAAGTTTCTATTCAAAACGCTGATTGACCGTCCTAGCTTCGCGTTAAAACGCCTAACGAAGGTCAAAGGGGAAGGACAAACCCTTGACCTTTAAGTTCCATTATTAGAACCGTCTCGGGTGGCTAGAAATATCCTTGACCTCTCGGTCAAAGGGCCCGTTCGAGACTGGAGGGATCGGCCGTAGAAGAATGCCTCGAATAAATAAATTGGATGGGTCTGGCAACTTTTCCAGCCGTCGTACTGGTCGATGCAACGGGAAACCGATCAGTACGAGAAGCACTTCAACTTTTTTACGAGTTCGATTAGCAGAAGCTCGGGAGAGGAAATGGCGAGAGCGAGGGCATTGTGCGATTCTTTTCTCCCTCGCCCCCTCAAAGGCAAACCTTCGCCTGGTTGCGCAGAGACAATTTCCTGAGACACGTAATTAATGTTCCCGGACCGCGCTTTTAATCGAGCCGTCATAAAACTCTGCCGAGGGTAGACACGTTGGTTCGTCAAAGGAGAAATGTAAACGTCAACGACCCGTTGATTCGCAATCGAGGAAGAGCCGGTTTTCAACGGTCTGAAGCTTACTTCCACTTCAGAATGCGTTTCTCTCTGTGACGAATCGATGGTTATCGGAGGAGACAAAAGACTGATAATCCGTGTATTAGCGTTACGCGAGCACAAAAAGCTGGGTGACGAGCGAAAGCGATTTCTCACCCCCTGACGCCGATACAAGGTCGACTACGAGTTCGAAAACGGAGGTCGAAGGTCGCCGGTCCTGCGGATAATTTCGTCGCCACGGCTAAAAGGCTGAAGGGAAAAAAAGAAGAAAGCAGAGTGACGAGAACCGGTGGAGAGCATAAATCGTCGAAGGGGTGAAGAGGTCATCGAGGGATGGATTACGATGCCGGCGTCGCGGATTATCGGAATTCAATAATATCGGGGCGGTACAAATAAATATAAAAATCAGCCCGGGGGCACACGCGCCGCGGCTCAAAATAATAAAGCGGAGGAACCCAAAGGGTCGACGAACTCTCGTAAAGCTTTTGTGTAAACTTTATATCCCAGTAAAGGGGACAGCTTCGACGAATACTTATGTAGAATTTTCTTGAAGAATTCTCGTTACCACGAGCCTTTTAAGCTTCGAATAATTATTCTTAAATTTCTCGTGCGAAATCTGAAGATTTGATTTACGTATCATTAATAATCTCGATTATGAAATCAAATATTGCGACCATTTACCGGATACACTCGGTTTCAAGTTATGGGTATCGTATAACGCAACAACTTTATTGAAAATACTCGGTTTACGGGAAGCAATTCCAAAAAGAGTAGAAGAAACTGAAGGGAGGCAGGTTGGAAAGTAAAACTTGGCTCCCGGGGATTTGTCAGGACTCTCCTGCAGGGATGCTCTTATTTAGACCTTTAACGGCTTCGTCGGACGGCCATAGGTCCCGGAACGATAAAAGCTCGGTTATATAGACGCGCATAAAATTCGTTACGATCGGCCCTTGCTTCTGTTTCCGCTTCGTCCCTTCGGGAATTGTTGGCCCTCCTCGAAAATCGTCTCAGTTTCTCATTTCTGGTTTCACGTAATTACTCGGGCAAAACTGACAATTGGTTACTTAAAATTTTCCTAATACGAACTCGTACGAAACTGTTTCAAGTACGTTTTCACGTCTGTTCTCAGACTTTCGAATATTTCACGTATCGAACAAAATGTATTTACAATGGAGTGAATGATCAATGAAAAGGAATTGCACAATGACCGAGGTTCATAGAAGTTCACCGAAGCAAGACTGGAAGCCGGAAACCTTACGTTTGTCGGTTCAGTGGCACGAGCTATTGAGCTCCTCGACCCTAATCCCCGAGCCTCCTAATGGTTCACGTAATCCCGATCTTTCCTGTTCGACGCGAGAATAATTTGTCAGAGTAAATTCTCCGTGAGAATTTTTTGAAAAGTGCACCCGAAACACAATAGCCTCGCGACGTCTCGTTCTTTCCACGCGTTATTTTCTCGCCTGTCACAGAAGTTTCTCTTTATCGATTTCTGAAACGGTACCGGACTATCGTCGAACTTTCACTGGCCAGTCGATGACTCGAACGTGAATGCAAACCGGGAACGTGGCGACGACAGAGCTTATTAAGACATATTCTCTTCGCCGGAGAAGTTGATCTCGTAAACACGACGAGTGGGCGGGCGAGTCGCGATTAAACGCGAGTACCGAGAGGAGGAACCCGCGAGCTAGAAACCTGGGTGGATTTACGAGCGACGGGGACAAAAGATACGAGCGTGTCTCCTCGACCGGAAAAAAGAGCAGAGAGAGCGACTTCTTCCTCCCCATTCGACGACTTCCATCGCACGGAAAGTTCTTCGTTTTTTTTTTCACCCTCGAGGGTAGAATTCCTGTTTCTCGGTTTTGCGTCGGCCTGACTGACCCACTGTCGCGCTCCCAAGAAGGAAAATCTCCCGGTCGCGCTCGTTCACGCGTGAAAATAATCGATGCCGATTCCCTCGGAGCACGCTAAAGACGTTCGTCGACTGTTCACGAGTGAACGGAAGCTATCTGCGACTTGCCTTGCTCGATAGACTTTCAACGTATAGTCCAAGAGCTCGGAGCCAAAAAAGTCTTTGAAATGACAAAAGCTATTTCTTTGACAGTCAATTACAGTACTGGTGTACACGAATATGCTCTGGTCGGTCAAGCAGCCATTAGGACAGGTGCCCTAGGTGCGCCGTCAAACATGTCGCGATTACCAAGTGCACGAAATGAATTTACAAAGGCTAAAAATTTTTGTGCAGATTACACATTGCATATGAAAAAGAATTATCGTAGTCGGTCAGTTGTGCGTTAGGAAGGGGGTGGTCGGTCAGGCCCGGAGCGTGTATGAAAAAATAATAATGTGCAACACATTTAGAAAATCTAAAAAAACTCTTATAGATACATGTTTGACGGCGCACCTAGGGCACCTGTCCTAATGGCTGCTTGACCGACCAGAGCATATTCATGTACACCAGTACTGTAATTGACTGTCAAAGAAATAGCTTTTGTCATTTAAGAGACTTTTTTGGCTCCGAGCTCTCCGACTAATACTATCGCTTTGACAGAACGAAATGTGTTCGTCAAATTATTCATTGTCAATTACTTGTACATGTTGAAAATTCACGTACCCGTGTCTTGGAAAAGTAAAACACGTGGATGGAAATAAAGACGTTTCACGTCTCTCTACGTTCTTCATTTCATTAAACCATAAAGAGTTTCAACCCCTGACTCAATATCCTCGACTCGAGCAAAGGGCCCGAATTCTTTTCATCTCGTCGCCACGGTATTAATTAATACCGTATTATCCCCCCACCCATATTTGCTCCCCGGCTCGAAAGCCCGGACACAATAAGACATTCCCGCTTTGAGAATCGCTCCATCCCCTACGGGATGCGCACCCCTCGCGTCCTTTCGCGAGTGACCCACTGTCGTTCCTCGAATCGAACAAAGAAACCCTCTTTACGGTGCTTCTCGTCGCGTGAAAATAATCGATGGAACTTCCAAGTTCCTCGCGTTTCGTCCCTCGCGATCAGACGGGGATGTAACGCGGTGGTGAAACAGAAGGGAGAGATATCGAAAAGCACCGAGCAAAATTGCGCGCTGCCACCCAACCCCCGTATTATTGACAACTGATACCGAGAGATACGAGGTCGCACGAATTTTATCCGAGGGTGCCCACTATTCAGACCGATAACGCATCCACTTCGGTCGTGGAATTTTAAACGGGGGCGCGTCCTTTATTGAATCGAATTTCCAATCGATAGCCTTGATGTCCTAGAACAACTCTCGAGTGGCTCGAGAGAAGCGTACATAGAAATGCAGGAAATTTTGTACATGAATCGTATGGGAAATTATTTAAAAAAAAAAAAATGATAGCAAGTCGCTGAAGTATGAGAGGAAAGGGGAATCAGCAGGCCGAATGAAAAATTTTT